GGGCTGGGCGCGGCCTGCCTGCCATCCGTATCAGCAGGCGCATCGCGTGCTGCGCCTTCACTTGACGAGCTTGTCGGGGGTGATGCAGGTGCCGACGGGGCCGCTGGTAGCCCTTGCCCCTGCCGTCGCCACCTGCGAAGTGGATGCCGTCGGCGGTGTAGCCATAGGCGCCATTGTTGAGGTGGCCGAGCTGGCATTGGCAGCCGGCTGCGTCTGGCGAGTCTGCGGCTGGGCATGGGTCTCCATCCAAGCCGCAGTGCCCATCTGCGCGTCGATGTGACGGCGTACCTCTTCATCATAGTCCTGTGCCGAGACACGGCGCAGACGCAGAAAGCGCGCCAGGTAGCGATCTCTGGCCCTCGCCTGGTCAGACCAAGTGCTGCTGCAGAAGTCACGAGCCAAGATCATTCTGGCCCCCAGCATATCGACGCCATGAAGGGCAGCGGTCCTGGCCACCATCGGCTGGAAGACCGTCTCGGAGAGGACTCTGAAGGCGTACGGCACGCAGAAGTATCGCCAGTTCTGGCGCGCATCGAGCTCATCATGTACTGCAGGCTCAGGGTGCAACCACGTACCTGCCCATGCACGCAACAGTGCACGAAGACGATGACTCTCAGTGCGCTCATCGGCGTCGTCGTCAGACTTGGCGTCCAGCAAATCCCTGCACTGACCCTCCCACGCACAGTGCCCCGTGGCTGGGGTGTCCAGGGTCGGGCCAGCACAGGTGGCGACGTTGAGCCTGGCAGAACCAGGACTTGAGGCGTGCGTTCTAACGCCTTGGTCGCCGTAGGTGTCATTGTAGCAATCATCGTCATCGTGGAACCTGATGTTCAGCATGGAGCTCTTCCCTTGGGAGTAGCCCTCTGAGATGCTGGCCATCTTCCAATCATCGTCGTCGGACTCGCTGACGTCGTCAAGGTCGCCGAAGCTGAGGTTGCCGCACACCCAGTCGTCGTCGCTGTCAGAGCCAGAGGGCGCCGAGGCAGCCGAAGTCCAAGGCCCATCACATGTCGGCGTCCAGCTCGGCCGCTGGCGCAAAGGCCCAGTCGGCGGCGCCGAACCATGCCTGTCAGGGTCCGCAATCCATTGTTTCAAGAGCTCATGCTCCTGCCTGTGGATCGAGGCTGCGGCAAGCCACTGGCTGAACGTGAGGGCGTCAAGCCACTTCAGAGAAGCTGCTCGGCTGCGCGCCCCACTGCGACAGGCACGGTGGCATAGCTCCTTGGCCATCTGCTCAGCCGTGGAGCCGTGCGCCTGCAGCATCCACTGGAACTTGGGAGCCCTGAAAAGCTCCACCACATCGTGTTCGCACCAGTCGTGCCAGGCGTCCTTTGCGCCCGCCTCCTCCCCAACGCGTGCGTTGTGGATCCACCGCCTTGCCCAGCGCTTGACCCCCCTCTCGATTTTCGGCGCAGGGCTGCTTCGTATTGCCGCACGTCGGGGGCGCCCCTGATCATTGGCAAACTCCGCGAGAGAAAGGGGGGCATCCAGCTGACGGGGGTTGCAGTCGCCACGGACTCCATCAGCATGCCCAGGATGCGTATCTTCAGGAATGTAGGGAGGTGCATCGCCATCATGGCTACACGTAGGCCTGCTCCCATCAGGCTGCATTGCCACAAGACTGACGCTGTTGTAAGTGAAGTTGCTGCAGATGCCCCTCATTGCACTCGACGGAGTAACAGTCAAAATAGGGCACTGCTGATCAGATTCAAAGGTGTAGTTGCTAAACACACGGCGCTGGTTTGCCACTGGCCGCCTTGGAGGCCTGCTCCAACTTGTCCTTGGCCGCCTTGATCGTGGAGCTGGCCTTCTTGCATGGGTCCTGACGCCCTGGGGCTCTGCCGCGGCTGCTGCCGCCGCTGCCCCTCTCGGCGTGGGAGGCTGGGCCGTCGTGGGCTCGGCCGCGGGCGCCGACTCCTTCGGTGCCTCCATCCCGGGCGTGGCCTCTGGAAGGACGGCCGCTCCTCCAGGTGCTCCTCCGTCGCCGCTGGCGTTGGACTTCCGCTTCTTGGCCGATAGGCGTTCCATGTGCAGCTGCTGCTCCTGGCCCAGCGCTGCCGCTTTCTCGCGCAGCGGCCCGAAGAGCGTGCCAAGCGCCGTCTTGCACTCCGCTGAGAGCTGCTCCTTCCTGCGCATTGCTTCGGCACGGTCCTCTGGCGACACCGCATCGCCCAGGGCCTCGGGGCCGAACATGTCGCCGTCGTCCAGCAGCAGGTCTTCCCCATCCAGGAGCTTGGACAGGTCGATCTTGGTCGTGGGCGGCTTCGCAGGCTCTTCGTCCGCCACGACGCTGGTGTGCAGCTTGCGCACGCAGACTTGGTAGTGGGCTCGCGCTGCGTCCAGCTCGTCGCTGTGCTGTTGGACCTCGCTCTGCGCCTTCTCGACCTGGGCCTCAAGCTTCTCGCACTTGTCGACCGATTTGCGGGCCTTCGCAAGTTATACCGACATGTCAGCGTCGAGCTTGCTCTGGCGGTGGTCATCGAGCTTCTTCTGGTAGGTGGCAGCGGCGGCAGAGTCGCCTGTCTCGCTCAGGAGCTTCACCAGGCTGACCAGGCGCTGCTCCTCCTTGTCACCAACGTCACCGTCGATGATCTCAGGCCGCAGATCGAAGGCGACCTGGGGCGGAGCGCGGCTGGGCTGCCGCTCGCGAAAAGGCTGCCGCCTGGGAGGCTGCGAGGTCTGCCGCCAGGGATGAGCAGGCGCATCGCGCCGACTGCCAGCAGCACCAGCGTGAGGAGCAGGCGAGCGAGCGGCCCCACGCCCTGGCTTAGGCCCCTGCCGCGGTGGCGGCTCGGATGGTACCAACGGCCCACGGCAGTGTTTGCACCAGCGCCACCAGCCGAGGTTCTTGCCGCAGCCGCAGGCCTCGCACTTGACCATCTGGCTGCTCGTGGCGGCGCCATTCATCTGCCTGGGCGGCTGCTGCGCGCTGTGGTGGTCCTGAAGCAGGCCTGCCGCCTGCCCCAGGCGCGCCGGCGTTCTCGCCCACGAGCGATGTCGGCGCTGGCGCCGATGGTCCGCCCCCCCCCAAGGCCTCGCCGTGGCCGAGAGAGAGCACAAGCAGAAACGGGGCGCGGCCCTATCAGGAGACGCGCGTGAGGTTAGCCTGGTAAGGGGCGGTACAGTCCCAGACGTGTGCCCCTGCGCTCAGGCCGAACCTTCCTCCTCCTCCTCCTCCTCCTCGTCCTCCTCCTCCCCTTCCTCCTCCTTCTCGTCCTCCCTTTCCTCCCTCTCCTCCTTACTTTCCTTCCTCTCCCAACTGTTCCCCCTATGGGGTTCGGCAACCGCTGGGATGCCACAACGTCCAATAGTATGGCCCGACGTCGACCCAATGTTTGGCCGCATGAGTGTTTCCAGAAGGCAGAGTGTGGCGGTGATTCGCCGTAGGCGCCTTCGACATAACTGCACAGCTCCATGCTGATGTTTCGATGTGTATCCACTCGTGAATTGAATGGTGCGTCCATTGCAAATCCGCCGGCCCCCTTGCGGGGCCATCAGGCTGCGAGGCTTAGGGTTGCTGCTCCCTGTGCCAGTTCCAGCTTCCAATTTCCATTGTTACAATACTGCTTTCTGCTTCCTCTGGTAAGCACCCCCCGGGAGGGTTTTCAGAATTTCTGAGGGGGGGGGGGGGGGGCGTGGGACATGAAAAAAATACGCGAGCTTCGTGCCCCCCAAGCCATACTCCCTCGCAGATTACGCTGTATTCGCACCCCCGAGGCCACAATCCTTTGTAAATTACGCCACACTCGCGTCTCCGAGGCCACGATCCCTAGCAATTTACGCCACATTTGCGTCTCCGAGGTCACGAGCCTTCGTAACTTACTCCACGTTCGCGCCCTCGAGGCCACGATCCCTCGCAATTTGCGCGACATTCGCGCCCCCGAAGCCACGATCCCATGTAATTTACATCATGTTCGCGCCCCCAAGGCCACGACCCTCGTGAATTACTACGAATTCGCGCCCCTGACGCCACGACCCCTTGTAAATTACGCAGCGGGGGCGCCCCCGAGGCCACGCATCCGCCGTGCGGAGGCTGCCGAAAAAAGGAGCTTCCCCTTTCCAAAACACAAAAAAACAAATTTCTGTATTGTGGTATGTGCTCCGCTGGTATTATTTTGCCCCCCCCCCCACCCCCTGTTTCTGGAAAATTTGGCGGTGGGTTCCACTTTCACCCCCCCAGGCCACGATCCCTCGTAAGTTGCGCCACATTCGCGCCCCCGAGGCCACGATCCCGCGTGAATTACGCCGCTGTCGCGCTCCCCAAGCCACGATCCCTCGTACATTACGCCACATTCGCGTCCCCGAGGCCACGATCTGTCGCAAATTACACCAAATTCGCGCGCACCCCCCACGCTACGAATCCACCTCGCGGAAGCTGCCCAAAGGCGCCACTGCTTCTCCAGAGCAGAAAACAATAACCTTCCCAGAGATTGCCTGAAGCAATCCCCAGCTGAGAGTCTGCCCTGGCAGGCAGCGATCACTGATAAGGATAATGAATAGTTTTCTACCCTTGATCCAAAAAAGGCGCCCTGTGAGCGCGCGCGCTGCTGTCTGCTGCTCTGGTGCTATGCTACTCTACTCTGCTGCGCTGCTGTAGACAGCAAGATAAGAACAGATACTACACACGCGCCTGCTGAATGCCCGTTTCTCTGACACCCCTCCGTGACCGTCGAGGCCTGTCCTCGTGGGGCACAATCCCGGGACAACGGGGGGAGCGGAGACAGAAGCGGCGGAACTTCGTCCTGACCCAAGAAAAACCCGATGCGGGGCTAAGCTACATTAGACAGAGATGAGCCCAGATGCCAGAGTGCTCTGGAACAAATTCACTGCGCGAATCTCCAAGGAGTCGGCAGAGCGGGGGCCTATACAGGCGTGCGAATATGGAACTACACAGGGCGGCACCTAGCTAGGCTAGGGCGCAATCGAGACGAATGCGAAGCCAAACGGTGCGTGGGAGAGGAGGCGGAGGAGGAGAAGGAAAGAAACGAACATCGGGGGGGCTACCCCTCCGCATCGCCTAGCCGGGCCTTGCGAGCACGGCGCGCCTCACCAGCCGCTGCCTTGGCAGCGAGCATCTCCTCCGTCTGGGCCAAGCACCAGCGGCCCTCGGTCAGCCGCTCGAGCAGGAAGCCCCTCTCAGCATCGGCCTTCGTCAAGGCGTCCGCGATCATCAACTTCGTGTCGATCCACCTGACGCGCATCCTCCAGTCATCACTCTCGCGCTCCTGCTTCAGCACGTCATGGCCGAGCAGCTGGCGGATCTGGGCCATCAGAATCCGCACCCGCTTATCAGCGGGCTGACCACCGTCCTTCTCCAAGGAGGTGACGAGGCCGCTCGCGTCCGTCAGCAGCAGCAAGTGCTTGCCGTCGAAGAACGGGTCGAACTGGTAGGACGAGTAGCCGGGGTCGGAGATCTCGGCGATCACATGCTTGAGGAACTCCGCGCTCTCGGCCGTCGTCAGGAAGCCGTTGCACTCAGCTGCGAGCGACCCGCGAACCACTCGCTTGATCGTCGCAATGGCCCATTCCAGCGGGTGGATGATCGCGGCGGTGTCCATCTCGAGGTCGGGCGACGCCATGCCGATGACGCAGCCGCACTGCGACTTGACCTTCTCGCCCAGCGTCAGGTCGTCGATGTTGCCGTGGCTGCTGTCACCGCAGCCGAACACGATCGCGCTGTCCCAGTCCAGGCTGGACGAGAACACCAGCTTGAAGTCGACGTCGTCCTTGGCCATCTTGATGGCGCGGTTCACTGCGACGATGTCGCGGATCTTGGGACCACTCATGGACTGAGCCCCAAGCGAAGCGTGGACGGCCAGATCAGGGCGCGTCTGCCGCGCTACCCAGCCAAGCGACCCAACGCCGCTACGGAGGGCAGAGATCTCCTCCGGGGTGAGCGGCGCATTGGGCTTGCGCCGGCGGTGTGGCTCGAGGGCGATGTGCTCCAGCGCCTCGACCGTGGCGGCCTGGCCGATCTTGATGTCGAAGGTCTGGCTGTCCTGCTCCACGACCTTGCCGCAGTACCTGAACGTGCCGGACTGGAAGGAGAGGTGGATCTTATCCTTGATGATATCCATCACGCGCTCGAACTGCTCGCCCGCGCCCGCGACGAAGAGGTCGTCGACGTGCGTGCAAAGCCGATGGGCTTGCCCATGCTGTCCCTGAGCATGAATTGGCAGGGCTCGTAGATGGACTCGCGCCAACCCTGCTCCACGAGGATGGCGCGCAGATGCAGCCACCACTGCCTGCCCGCATCCTTGGTGCCGTAGATGGCGCCGCGAGCGCGCATGTAGGACCCCTCCGGAATTCCAGGTGGTGGAGGACGAGGAGCTCGAAGAAGCAGAATGCGCTCAATGCCCTTGGACTGCAGGTTGGCCGTCGCAGCATCAGCTGCCCTTACCTGCCACCGATGGGAGGCAGCGTAACTGGCGACCAGGTGGAAAGCCAAAAGGCTAGCAGTAGGAGCGTCGCCTCGGATATCATCTCCTCGTTCCTGGCAGCCCTGCACGACGAGCCGACTCTTGGCAGCGAGCGGGATGTCGTCGTAGGTCTGCTTGGGGTTGCGCTTCTTGGCGTTCTTGTCCGTGTGAACCCAGCGCGTCCCAACCGGGGAGGCACCCCTGTCGAGGAGCTCCTTGGCCTGGTTGGAGCTCAGCACCTCGACGGCCTGGAACTCGGTCCAGCTGCGCCACTCCTTGGCCATGGCCTGGTCGAACTCCTTCTTCTGCTCTGGGGCGAGATCTTGAAGTCTGATCTCGGAGCGGACCGCGCCCTTGGTGAGGTAGGCGAACTCGACGGCGTCGTTCGCGCCCACGTCCTCGTCGGTGTGGACGAAGATGGTCTCGACCGCGGTGATGCCACCAGGCAGAGGCCGGCGAAGGCGAGCGTCGCGAAGAGCAAGACCTCTGACGTCGATGTCATCGATCACGATGCCCGTCTTGATGTCCCTGGTGATGCGGCGAAGCACCTTGGACCAGCGAGGGCCACGCATGTCCGTGGCGATGAACTTCTTGATGCCGTAGTCGGTGCGACGCCACTCGTAGGCGACAGCCAGGTCCGGCTTGTAGTCGCTGGTGAAGAACCTCGTGGGGGGCGTCCTCCATGACGCGGAACTCCTCCTCCACGTAGCCCTGGAAGGTGCGAGGCTTCTTGGTAGAATCCCGATCCAGACGCTCCGGATCGCGCATGGCTCTGTCCAGCTGGGTAAGCGGCAGGCCTCTGCCGTTCTCCCCGCGCTCCAGGCCCACGCCCATCTCGTCGTCCGGGGGCGCCGGCTTGTCGATGGCATCCTGGGATGCTCGAGGGTCGACCCAATGACCTCTAACTCGAGCCTCCGCAGGAGGTACCGCCTGGGATGCCCGAGGGTCGACCCAATGACCTTTAACTCGGGCCTCCGCAGGGGCTGCCGAAGGGTCGGACCAATGACCTTTAACTTCGGAATAAATGCCGGGCTCGCCCGGGCCGTACGAGCGCGGCGGCCCCTCTGCCTCTGGGAGCCCCGGGCGTGGTGGCTCAGGAACCACAGGAGGAGGCTGATGCTGAGCTGGTGGTGGTAGTAGTGTGTCGGCAGTCTCCTGAATAATTGGAGATGCCTGTTGTGGTACTTCGTGAGATGCCTGTTGTGGTACTTCGTGTGCCGGTTGTGGAGGATCGACCCGCTGCTGTGGTAGATGGTCCTCGGTGTTGAACTCGTCGAGGTCGAAATTTGCATCAGGCCCTGGCCCGGCAGATCCGAGCGCGCCCCCAACCACCCCTCCGTGGCCAGCCGCGTGCCGTTGCGGCCTGGGCATCGGGGCGGGCGAGGCTGCCGCCGTGTCGGCCCGGATGTCGATATAGTGCCTGGCCCCCTTCAGCGACCGGAGGGACAGCAGGTCCGGGTTCACGTAGGTGTGCACGGCGAGCAGCTCGTCCTCGGAGGCGAACCTGAGCGATTCAGGGGCTGCGAGCACGGTGGTGTGCCCATAGCGCAGCCGCACCGCATGGGCCAGCGTGCCGACGGGCTCGTCGGCGTCGCGAGAGAGATGGCGAGGGTCGCGCACCTCGTGCCCGATAACCCGGGCCGGCCCAAACAAGCGGTGCGTGACCTCGGGGCTCTCGCCGACTCGGGTTTGCGACCGGCGGAAGTACACGATGGCCCCAATGTTGAAAGGGCCCCGGCTGGGCCGCGCCTTGCGCAGGATGGCGCGCTTGACGCGGTCGTCGGGGTCGAGGCGGACGTGCGCGATGCGGGCCGCCTCGCGCAGGGCCATGGCGCGGGCCATGGCGGACTGTGGGTCGAGCGACGCCTCGATGACCTCCAGCCGCTGCGCCTCGTAGTCCTGCAGGAGGCTTCCTGGGGCGCGGGGCCCGTGCGACCCCAAGACCCACTGCGAAGGGGAGAACCCCCCGCGCCGGCCCAGCTCGTTCTTGACCTGGGTCACGATGGAGGCGGTCTCCTCGACGTCATCCAGCCCCGTGACCTGGGAGTCGGCGACAGTGCGTCGCCAGATCTCCTTCCACATGCCCCCGTGGCGCTCGCACTTGCCGATGAGGTGCGGCGTCTCCAACGGGGCCAGGTCGACCTGCACGCCGTGCGCCTTCGCGTTGGAGGCGAAATCCTTCATCCACTCTTTGCCCAGGTCCACCGTGAGCTTCTCTGGGTAGCCAGCCCACGGGGTCCAGCTGGTAGTGAACGCCTTGGTAGTGGCACGCGACGTCGGTGATCCACGAGCCGGGCCCATGCAGTTCACGACTTGGAAGTTCGTGCCCTCGCAGATACAGTTCATAAAGAAATAGGGGGTCCCGGCCGCGTCGTAGGCGTGGAAGGTGCCCAGCTGGATGGCGTAGTTGAACACGTACTGACCTGGCAACCGCGAAGGTCGCGGGGCGCGCCGACGAACGGCGTCGCCACAGGCGTCGCAGGAGAAGAACTCCACGTACTTCAGCACCTCCGGCTTGACTCCTCGGCGCCTCAGCAGCCTGGTCAGCGTCGCGTTCGAGCAGTGGTGGAAGTTGACGTGGAGCTGGCGGATGGCCTTCCTGACCTCCGGCGGGGCCTCCAGCCATCGCCTGCGCCGTCGGCCTCCTGAGTGTTGGTGATGGGGCCGAGCTGAGCGGCCTCTCGGGCTCGCTCGCCGTCGGGATCGACGGCTGGCGGAGGTGGTGGCTCCCCCACAGCTTCTTGGTCAGCTGGAGGAGGAGCAGGCTCAGGCGCGTCCGGGTCCAGCGGTGGCGCTGGCGGCGCCGTGGCTGCCCGGTACGGGTGCCCCCGCAGCCTGGTCCGTCGTCGCAGTCGAACTGGCCCATGAAGGTCTGGACCGTCCTCGGCTGGGAACTGCCAGTCGGTGTCCGTGGCGTTGTCGACGATGGCCTGCTGTACGATGCTGCGGGCGACGATGTGGTTGAGCTCCTCCGGCCACTCGGCCGCTTGCAGGGTGCGCGGCCCGAACTTGTTGTGGCCCTTGAGCTGCTCGTGCTGGGTGCAGCTGCACTTCTTATCGGAAAGGGCCTCGACCAGCGTGTCCATGGTGGTAATGATCATCATGGGCTTGCGATGAGCCAAGCCTGACTCAGCATCGCGGTGCTCAACCTGGCCGCCGTCGAAGGTGACCTTCTTCAGGATGCCCGTGTCCAGGAGAGAACGAATCCTCGACATCTCCGGCTGGTCGAAGGCCTCGGAGCCCTGGGGATGCTCCAGCGCCACGTGGAAGCCCCTCCGCACTCGGCTGTCCACTGAGGAGTCCACCTGCCTGAGAATAGGGCGGTTCTCCTCGCGCTTGGCCAAGATCTTCCTCTCGGACTCCGGGCAACGAGCCATGTTGAATCTGCTCCAGTTGCCCCACGGCGAGCAGGGGTGCGAGACCATGAGGCAGTACGGCTCCTCGTTGGTGATCTCCGCGTCGTACCTCTGCCTGCCCAGCCTGGTGGTAGCGCCCCAGCCCGCGCGCTTGTCCAGCGGGACGCCGACCGAGAGGCCCATCGCGGCCATGAGCACTGTCAAGCCCATCTGGCCGGCGTAGGTCTGCTTGACCCACGCCCGGGCACCGGCAGGCAGCCGGGCCCTCGGCGGATGCTTCTCCACGACGGCCTGCACCACCTCGTCCTGCACGGCGATGGCCTGCAGGGAGTGCTCGAGCTTCTTGGACTTCTTGTTGGTGAGGTTGCGCTTGCCGCCCCACTCGATGGCCTCGGCGGCGAAGACGTCCAGTCCGTAGTCGTGGTCGACGACCGTCTGGAGGCACTCGTCGTCTGTGGTCTCGCCGATCTCGATGTCCAGGAAGCTGGGGAGAGGCTCAGCCGAGCTCTCCTCGATGGAGGTGATGCCGACGTGGAATTGCTCGGGGAAGTACTCGAGGTGGTGGTCCTCGGGCACCGTCAGCGCCGCCCAATCGGCCGTCTCGTAGCTCTCGTTCGGCAGGTCATGGAGGTTGACCGCCGGGTGGCCCACCTTGGTGTGGTGGAGCTTCAGGTTGTAGACGCCGATGTTGGCGAAGTCGGCGACATCGCCCTCTGCGGAGAGCCGCGTGCTCAGCCCGAGCTTGGTGATCATGTCCCTGCTGAGCAGCATCGGGCAGTCGCCCAGCACCTCACGCGACAAGATCTCGCCGCACTTCCCGCCGATGCCCACGGGAAAACGAACCGCCGTGGTGCTCCTCGCGCGGCCGCCGACCCCTCTGAATGTGCGGGAGGTCGGGGTCTTCACTACCTGAAGACCGCGCCTCGCGAGCTTGCGCTCGAAGGCTGCCCGCCACGACTCGCGGTGCATGGTGCGCGTGCAGCCCGTGTCGATGATGGCGAGCATGGCGTCGGCGTCGTTGTCGTGCGCCGAGAAGGCGTTGCCGGTAGTGGCGACCATGACCGAGCACTCGTAGGTGGAGATGACGTCCGGCTGATGGATGTTGGGCTGAACCGGGATGGTGAAGCCGCCGGCGTTGGCCTCCATCCAGTCGTTGTCGGTGGTGAGCCTCCTCTTGTCGCTGTCGATCATCTGCTGCGGGGCAACGTTGAACTTGCCACGCGCGACCTTCACGATGGCGTAGAGGAAGTGCGCGTAGCGGTACAAGTGGGGGTTGATCTCCTCCGCCTCGGGGTCCAAGGCCTGATCCAGAGCCCACTTGTTATGCCAGATGAGCGCCGGGTCGGACGCCGCATCCTGGAAGGTTCGCCCCTTGTGCGTGCCGAAGTTGATGACCTCCGCTGGGTACGGGACCGGGTTGAGCTGGTCGACGCCATCGAGCTCCGGGAACTCCGCCAGCTCGGTGCTGTGGTGGAGCGGGATGCCGTACAGGAAGGCCAGCTCCGGTCCCGGCTTCGGCTCGGGGTCGCCCTTGGTCAGGTCGACCTTGATGGTGTGCTTCTCGGGTGTAGGTGGCGCGGCCGATGCTGATCCAGTAGCACTCGGCCTCGTAGAACTGGCCGCAGAAGCGGCCGCCGGTGTAGATGCACGTGGTTTATCGCCTCCTGCAGCCTGCCGGCCGAATAGCCGCTGCTTGCCGGTAATGCGTCGCGCCGCGGGCGCCGCCGCCTGCCTCGAATACGTAGATGGGAGGCGACCCTGAACCATCAGGGCGTCGACCACCACGGCGATCCGCTTCGCGAACTCCCTGTGGAACAGGAAGCGGCCCCACTTCGTGCCCATCAAGACCGTCATGAAGTAGCTCCACAGCTCAAGCCCCTTGTTGCGGTGGGCGAGCGTGAAGTGGCGGTCGCACTCCTTGCATGTGATGTACCTGGTGGTCTTGTTGAAGCCGCGGACGACCTTCTCGCAGGCGTCGTCGGCCACGTGCTCGCAGGCGTGCTCCATCTCGCCCTTCAGAACCATGAAGACCTCGGACGGCGCGCTGTCGTCGTCGTCGTCCCCGTACTCCTCGAGCGCAAAGTAGTTCTGAGCGGGCTTCTTGACTGGAGACGCCGATGTAGGCTTCCGACCCGACCGACGAGGGCAAACATCATCGCCCTGCCAGTGCCCGAACTGGTGGCAATCGGAGCACTGGGTCCGCTTCTTCAGGTTGGCGACGCGCTGCCGGCGAGCGTCGCGCTGCCGGTCGTCGTAGCCGGGGGCAGCGTTACTCGAACTGCTGCTGCCACCTCGCCCCGCGGGCGATCTGCTCGGCAATCCCCTGCCGCCTCCACGGCGGCCTCCCTTCCCACCGGTCTTGCCGCGACCGTGGAAGCTCGAAGTCACTCGCCTAGGCGGCCTCTTCATGTTGAAGATCCGCCGACCCCTTGGGGATCATCGGCGTGTGAGATGCCCCCCCCTCCCCAAACCCCTCCCCCGGGAGCCCGGTCCGGTCGATTTGGAGGGGGGGGGGGGGGTCCGGGACGAGCGGTTCACGGCGATTTTCCTCCGGGCCAAGAAGCCCCCAAGAGGCCTCCAAGACGGCCCACGAAGGCCCCGAGACGCCAAACGACCGCTCCAAGACGCCCAAGATGGCCCCAAGACGGGCCAAGAGGTCTCCAAGACGGCCCCCGAGGTCCCAAACAAGCCTCCCAAGAGGGCCCCAAGAGTCTAAAATTGTTGATTTTCCATAGTGTTTTTCTATGTTTTTTGCTTTTCCGCCTTTTCGGCTTCCCGACGCTCCAAGACGGCCAAAGAGGCCCCAAGACAGCCCCAAGATGGCCCAAGAGGCCCCCAAGACGGCCTCCAGACGGCCCAAGACGGCCCCAACACGGCCCAAGAGGTCCCCAAGACGGCCCAAGAGGGCTCCAAGACGGCACCAAGAGGGGCCCAAGAGGGCGACCAAACATGTTGAAACTCTAGCTTTCTGCCCCCAGGAGCCCCAGGGGGCCCCAAGAGTGCCCCAAGAGGCCCCCAGAGGCCCTCACGAGGCCGCCCAGACGCCCCAAGGAACCCCCAAGAAGCACCCCAGAGGCTCCGAAACGGCCCCCAAGTGGCTCCAAAACTCGCGGTGTCGCCGTCCGCTCGGACCCCCCCGCGGAACTGCCCGAGACCCTCTGGCGGTGGCGGCGAACAGACACCAAACAAATATCACTCGCCTTTTCACCCCTTCGCAGCTTCTACTACCCCCAGATTGGCATAAACAAGGGGTCGGCGGTGTGGCGTAAGCCTAAGAATCTTGTTGCGACTCTGCAAGACGAGGGCGAGGGCCTCGGCCTCCTCGGGGCCGAGCTCGTCGAGGTTCTCCGCGACGTAGTTCTCGATGTCGAACTCGTCGTCCTCGCCGTGCTCGTACTCCTCCTCCTCGCCCTGGTAGTAGCCGTCCTCGTCCTCGTCCTCGTAGTAGACGTTGTCGAACTCCGGCGGGTTCTCGTCCTGGTCCGACGCGGCGAAGGCGTAGGCAGACCGCTCTCGGCGATCCGCGCGTCGGTCCTGATGACGATGTACAGCTGGGTACTGCGCCCTCAGAGCGTACTCGATGCCCGCGAGCTTGTACTCGTTCTTGTTGGAGGCGAGGACCGCGGCCTGCTCCTTCATACTGATACCGCAGAACCTGAGGATCAGCGCGGCCTGGATGTCCTCCGAAATCGTCGTGCTGGCGCTGACCTCCTGCAACTCGGCGAACTCCTTTCGCCTCCTCGTCACATAATTAGCCATAGACTCATTTCGATCACGCCAAACCGAAGAGCCATACAGCGCCTTGTCGAAGATCTCGGTGCTCCGGACGGGCGCGATGTCCTGAACCTCCTTCTTCAGCGTCGTCAGAAAGAGGGTGAGCCCATCCGGTTTGGACTCGCCGTCCTTGTCAGTGGCGATCAGCTCGTCATGCTTGAGCTTGCGCACGGCCTCGTAGGCCGGACCAGACAGGCCCGAGCGCAAGTGCAGGGCCGTCGCGGCCTGCTTCGACTTCTCGCCCGTCCTGCCATGGTACAGGTCCCAGGCGCGCTCCTCGTACTCGTTGAAGTACTCCGGCTGCCCGGCGTACTGGGGGATGCCGTTCCTGTCCAGCTCAATGGACATCTTCAGGAGGATGTTGAAGATAATGAGCAGCAGCGTGCTCGGCGTACTTGTACAGGTAGGTGCCCTCGGCCAACGCGGCGGAGAGCGCGTAGTCGTGGGCTGCCACGACAGCCGCGGTGGTGACCGCGGCGGCGGAGGGGAGGCTCGGCGGCCTCCGGCGGCTGCGCTGGCCGCTGCCTGCCGCGGGGCGCCCGGGCGCGGCGGCCCAGCCCAGCGGCCTGCGGTGCGTAGGTCCCGGAGCAATCACGCTCCGCTTACCATGAGAGTCTGCCCTGGCAGGCAGCGATCACTGATAAGGATAATGAATAGTTTTCTACCCTTGATCCAAAAAGGGCGCCCTGTGAGCGCGCGCGCTGCTGTCTGCTGCTCTGGTGCTATGCTACTCTACTCTGCTGCGCTGCTGTAGACAGCAAGATAAGAACAGATACTACACACGCGCCTGCTGAATGCCCGTTTCTCTGACACCAGCCGTTCCCAGAGCGCTTCCAGTGAACAAGTGGAGGAAAATGCCAAGAAGGCAACAAAGCGTTCAACAACAACTTCAACACCTCAATCTGTTTTGCTCATCGCCAGCCGCCCGAGCATGACGTTCCAGAATGTCATCAAGACGGCGCCCGAACATCCCAATATAGCTCTGATGTATCCCATTCTGATAGAGAGGGGGCCGGCGGCAGGGGGCGAAGCCCTTACGGATCAAAGATGATGCCACTCTCCCCACAACCTCCTTATCACCCAAAGGATGTTAAGATATCTATGCCCTGCGGATTGGCCGCTGCGAGACAAGCAGAACTGACCTGCATTCGAGGGGATCTTCGGGCGAGCACCTGCTCACCAGCTCACTGTCGTCAGTGGCGGGGTAGACGGGATCGGCTGGCAAGATAGAGGAGGGGGGGGGTGAGGAAGGAGGCAGGAGATAGGACGAGGTAGGGTGCCGTCGGCAGCACACGTCCATGCCGGAGCGACGCGGCTCAGAGGTGCGAGCTAGTCCCAAGACGCCTTGCCGAACATGAAGCTCGCCTCTTCGACGAGTACTCCTTCGATGCTGCCAGTGGCGCTGCCGTGTGGAGCACTCGGGCACTTGCACATCTTGTTGTCCAGGCCCAGGCCGCTCTTGCCATCGAATCTGCCCATCAAGCTGGCGGCCGCCTCGTTGTCCCGCGAGCGACCCCCCGTACGAGCCTTGTCCCAACGGTCCTTCCACGCGGGCCGGAAGTAGTAGCCGTGGTCCGCGTCGTCCTGACTCTCGATGCGGTAGCGCGCCGTGGCCCTGTGATGGACGCACGCGGCAGAGGGGCGCTCCAGGCTCTCTGGGTGTGCGTCGAAGCCGAGCAGGCCGCCGACATCCACGCGGCCAAGTTGGGATAGCTGCCGCACAGCCACGTTGAGGTGCTCCTGCTCGGGCAAGTCCTGGCGAATGGTGATCTTGGCGCCAGTCGGGCTCTTTTTGTGGCGCAGGGAGAGGGTGAACATACCAGCCGCAGTCGGCCCCGCCTTTGAGCGCTTCTTGGGGAACCAGGTCGCCTTGTCTAGCGAAACCTCGATGTCCGATTCCGAGTCGGAGAGCACAAGGTCCTTCGTCTCCAATTCCTCGATGGTCTGCCAGGGGAACTCACCCTTGCCCTCGAGCAGCCGCGCACCGAGGAACGTGTCGGTGTCATTCGAATGCGACTTGCGGTAGCAGCGAATCTCCACGGCCTTATCGCCAAGCCAGGCGCCCGAGAGCTCCACGTGCGTGATGTACGTGGTGCACGGCTTCCCCACGTCCGGCTGGACGACTGCTTGGAAAGAGAACTCGGCCGCCTTCTCCACAGCCTGCGGGAAACGGAGCAGTGTGAACGTGCCTTCGTGGTTGATATCGAAGTGCTCTCCTTGAAGGTTGACCAAATGCGGGTCGCCCTTGGCCCCGACGGTCGGGGCTGGAGTCGAGAATTCGGGGTACGGGCCAGCATTGGAGCACTCACCGGTGCCGTTGGGGTAAAGTGTGCACACCTCGGTGGTCTCGCAGCAATCAGTGCCGCATGCGCAGCAACAACCATCAGCGAAGGGAGAGAATGCGCCGCTCACCTGAGTCCCGTCAGTGGATGTGCAGGCCTGCTGAACTGTCGTGTCATATTGAAAGTTTCCAGGGAGCGGGTCGTTAAGATCGAGTTCGTATCCCCCAGTAATAGGAGAGATCCCAATGACGACTGTTGAATGTGTGACAACTGTGGACGGGTCACTCGATAATTTTCCAGAGATGGTGATACTGTCGCCCAGTGAGAACTCAGTACATGTTTGATACGCGACATGCACAGGAATCGTAGTGCTTCCGTTTGGGAGGTTTGATGCACCTGGGATGTAAGGATCGCAACAATCGTCTGCGTCGGGGTCCTGGCAGGGCACGAAGGGAGCCGGGCAGGAAGTGCACTCTAAGGATCGGCGCCTGCGCGTTTCGCCAATGCAGTCGACGCACTCGCAGGGGTTCGGGACAATGTACTTGCCCTGAGGGCACTCGTCGCACGGCTCGGGGACATCCACCGGACAGACTGATTGGTTAATCACGTAAACCATTTCGAACTCGGTCTGGTTGATGCAAGCGTCATCATCCAAGTCCCACTTCTCTGGCCCGCAGGTTGCGGGTACCATGAAACAGTATTCCAAGATGGGCATCTGCAAGTCGCACTCGTTTTGAGTAAGGCAACCATCCCCATTGAGGTCGTACCTGTGGAAGCATTCTGGCACGTGACATGCGCAAGGGACTCCTGGCGCCTCAAATTTGAATGTTGGCTCGGGTGTGGGCTGCGGTGTCGGCTCCGATGTCGGGGGCGCTGTCGGCGGAGGAGACGGCTGTGGCCGCCCCTTATCATGGCGGTCCTCCACGATCGGCGCTGGCGCTGGCGGCGCTGCAGCCTTCGCCGCCTCCTCTGCAGCTGTGGCTTTCGCGGCAGCCTCCTCGGCAGCCTCGGCCTCCGCGAGAGCCTCAGCCGCCTCCTCTGCGGCCTTGACCGCCGCTGCAGCCTTTGCCGCTGCGGCCTTTCTCGCCGCTACCATGGCCGTCTCAGCCTCTGCGGCGGCCTTCGCCGCCTCCTTTGCCGCCTTGGCCGCCGCGGCAACCCTCTCGGCAACCTCGGCCTCCGCCAAAGCCTTCGCCTTGTCGTCTGCGGTCCTGGCATCCGGTACAGCCTTCGATGCTGCGGCATTCCTCGCCGCCTCCTTGGCCGCCTCGGCCTCCGTGGCAGCCTTCGCCGCCTCCTCTTCGGCTTTGGCATCCTCGGCAGCTTTCGCAGCCTGTTCCGCTGCACTGGCCTCTGAAGCAACATTGGCGGCCTCGTCTGCAACTTTGGCCTCCGCGGCAGCCTTCGCCGCCTCCTCTGCCGCCGTGGCCTCCGCGGCAGCCTTCTCGGTAGCCTTGGCATCCGCGAAAGCCTTCGCCGCCTGCTCTGCGGCCCTGGCATCTGCTGCGGCCTTTGCCGCTGCTGCATCCCACGCCGAATCGTCGACCGCCCTGGCCTCCGCGGCAGCCTGGGCCGCCTCCTCTGCGTGGCGCTGGTGCTGCATTACGTTGGCGCTGGCCTCCATGATCTTGCGCCACACGGCCGCGCTCTCCCCCGAAATCTGCTCGGGCCCGTCTCTGTCCCCGTCCTCCACGATCTTGATGGCGGCAGTCGCTCGCAACAACACGGCTACGGCCAAAACACGGAGAGGAAACATCATATGAAGCATGCTGTCCCGGCGAAATGAATCCGCTAGCCCCTTGCATGTGATGAGGCTTTCCCACGCACGTTTCGAATTTCCAGTGTCCAATGTTAACATCGAAGCCCACCAGCCTTCTGGGCGTGAGTGGTCTAGGGGGGTTCCTCGTCCAAGCTCCCTAATTCCCCCTATCCCCTACCCCTGAACAGGGCGCCCCACGACCCAGTGGAGCGTCCAAGATGGCTCCAAGAGGGCCTCAGAGAGTCCATGATGGCCTCCAAGGCGGCTCAAGATGGCTCAAGAGTGTTCAAAATGGCATCCAAGATGCTCCTAGAGGCTCCAAGAACGCCTCAAGACGGCTCCAAGTGGCCTCGGATATCCCCCATCAGAGAGCCCCCAAGAGGCCAACATCCTTCCAAAACCTGGAACAATAGATTTTGCTTTCTGGCGTTTTCGCTTCCGATGGCCCTCCGAAGCCTCAAACTGGCTCCAAGATGGCCCACGAGGGCACCAAGAGAGGCCCAAAAGGTCCCCAAGACGGCCCCAAAAGCGCCCAAGAGCGCTCCAAGAAAACTCCCAAAGGCGATTTTTAAGGCTCTAGCGGGGCGCCGGTAATTAAGGACCTCCCCTACCTTTGATCGATATTTACAACATGGCCTCAAGAGGGCCTCCAGGGCTCGCAAGAGAACCCCAAGATGCCCTGGTCAACCCAATTCACCGGGGCATCGTTTCTGGATGGGCTGGTGGGGATATGCGAAGCTGAAATGTCACTGTCCGCGCGAAGGGAAACGGGGGTGACGACAACCACTCTGACCACCACACAAAACTGCGTACTCTGAATTGGGGATGGGGTCCTGGGACACGTAAGCGTACATGACGTTCGTGTCCCCGAAGCCGTCATCATCTGCAGATTACTACAGGGTCGCACCCCCCCGAGGTTATGATCCCACGTCAGTTACATCATCTTCGCGCCCCCGTGGCAAAGATCCCATGCAAATTGTTCCACCTTCGCGCCCCCCCAAAGCACGATCCCTTGTAGATTACCACGGCTCGCGCCCCCGAGGCGTGCATCCTTGTCAGATTCGCGGCCACGAGGCCACGATCCCTAGACGAGTACTCGCGCCTCCGAGGCCACGATCCTTCGTAAATGACCCCGCGCACGTGGCCCTGAGGCCACGATCCGGCGTGAATCACAACAGGCTCGCGGCCCCGAAGACGCCATCACCCGTAACTTACAACGCGTTCGTGCTCCCGAGGCCACACTCATCCCCAACTGATCTCTAGCTGGGGCGCGGCAGAGGCAGCAACCCCTAGGAAATTACGTGGCATTCGGGCCCCCGAAGCCACTTCGCCACGATGCCATCCCGACTCACCAGGGGAGGCAAGCATTGTGTGATTATGATGTGTTTTAGCGCAATGGCAAAAAAGGGGGCCCCATATTTCAAACGGCGGCGAGCGGCGGCGAGTGGTGCGTATACACACGTCACGCATGCACTATGTCACACCCGTGAAACTTTCTCACGAGCTAGCCGGCAGGCCACGCAGTACCGCTGGTCTAACTAAGCCTCAAGGGATAATTAAAAGGAACACTCTCATGTTGGGACTACTCAAGTCAAGGCGGACAGGACTCAGTCACTTACTTCCCTGATGGGATAGCATTCGCTTTGGCCCTCGCCAGTTGTTTCTTAACCTTCTTTAATGTAGATTCAGGATCTGGGGTTATATGATACGAGCCAGTACGTACGATCAGAACAAGGAAATCAGTATGCATTTTCTTCGTCAGACAACCAACAGCCATAATACTTGTACTGGCCCATCGGGCCCTAGCACAACATCTCGTGGATGTAAGGTCTCTGCTTCTTCCACTCCGTTAGTCCAAATACCCTGACTTAAACTCCCTAAATCAATACTCAAGCGCTTATGTTCTGCCTTGCCCATAGTTGGGGTTATAAGATGTTCTTCAAGACTCATACAATCCGTCACCCATAAATGTCTCATAGTCATGGCTGATTTGTCTTCGCAATTGGTTGGCAGCTTCTTTCCGGCGCCAAGCATCCCGCGAGCGTCTGCGATGGCGGCGCGGATGCGTACACTGGGTTCTACACCCCATAAGCAAGCCAGAGTCTTTGCTTGTAGTGTGGATTTACATACTCGTTTGATACATTTACTACATAAGCATATAGGGTGAGGATGATCACTGTTCCCCTCGATGAACCCAGGCCCTGCGAGTCCATTGAACCTAGCCCTCTGTGATCTGAGAGGCTTGAACCTACCCTCGACTACATCATCTTCTCCTGCCCAGCTGGCGACAGCAACGGTAAGGACTATCACATCTTGCTCCCACTTAACAGCTCCACCTTTACATGCTAATCCGCAGTCGACGGACTGAGTTGCTTCTTCTACTACACGGTTGGCTTCCTTGAAATGGAGTAACTTGGCGCGACGCACAGCTGTCTGCAGTCTGCTCGTGCGATACAATTAGCTCAAGTTTACACTGACGTGTAACCCATGACAAAGCACCTACGACCGATCTGAGCTGTGCTGTCTCACCCTGATTACATTTTCTCGTGAGGGGACTGTCCCTAGGATAGGATGCACCTTCGATTTTCTCATTATTATCCCAGGCCGTAATACTGAACCCTAGCGCGCACGCGATCTCATTGCTGCCATTGTGAATACTGAACAAAGTGGACATGCTACGATTCTCCTTTAGACCAGGAGCTTCAAACCTTGTGCGAATTTTCTACCATAGAACTCGTCCTGCGCCACGCGTGCCATAGACAAGCCTGCGCGCGACCAGTGCCCCACCATCTGGTACTCCTTCGACTCCTTCGGGCGGTGGCTTTAGTAGCGTGCGGCGGTCGAATTCCTGACCCTGGAAATACGCAGATGCGATGTCGGCACACGTGAGAATCTTCAGTGTGCCGGCGGCACATGATACTATCATCCTTATCCCTTCTACTCCGCTTGTTGGCGAATCCGTGCGGATGCCCAATGGCTATTCCCAATCTCCGCGCCGCGTACAACCAGTCTACTCTTTGACTGCGGTGCAACCGGAGGTCCTCCCGGTCTGCGGAGATGTTCATTCTTGTCAATATCAATCCACTGCGTTGGTGCCGCGTATATCCATGGTCGAGCAGATGCTGCAACTCCACGGAATCGATAGGTGCAGCGGCGTTGGCCTTCCGCCATTTTCCCAATTCGTCTTGCTTGCCAGTCGCAAGCCGCTTTTAACGTCCTCATATTATCGATGCTATATCGGGTTTTTTGCACTCTTTACCTTCTTCTTGGATGGCGGCCGATGAACGGTGCGCTCGTTGAAGAATCCTACGAGCGATTCATGTGGCTCAACAGCGAATGATGCTTCCCTGCGAGCTAGCAGATCCATGCTCTCGGGGGCTGGCTCCGAAACAGACTCGGAAACCCTTCCCGTGTTACCATCAACGTTCTCGACTCTTCTGCGCATCACTTCGTTGCGACTCTGTATGCCGCGTGGTGCGTCGCCTAGCAAAGACCTCTGGAATGGCGCTCGAGTCACCAGCGATGGCCTCGACGCGGGCGTCATAGGAACGACCGTGCCTTCAGACAGTTCATATCCCTCCGTTTGGCGAAATGCTTCTTCTATGAACTCGGGGTCCTCTGGGATCCCCGGCAGCCCTGTCGCCATAAGATGTTCTTGTACGGAATGCTCTTGTACCTGTGGTTCTGGCAGCTCGCGTCCTTCGTCCACAAATGGAAGTTGTTGTCCGTCTGGAGGCCCATATCTTTCGACTCCACCGTCGCGACGCTTGGAGAGATACTGGTATGCCAACGCCTCCGCCGCAGTGCACGGTCGGAGCCTGTCGACAACCGCGCAGACAGGTGCGCCCTCCGTGAAAACCATGCGTTTTGCCATCGAACCCAACGATGCGAGAACCAGTGCTCCACTTAGCGCTGACTTCGCCGTCGGTCGGCTTCGTTCGGAAGCACGCTACATCACCTACTTGATATTCCTTGCCTAATGGCGTTGCTTGTCGGAGAGCGGCCCTCGCCGTTCCACTCCCGACGTCGTGTTCCGCGAGTGCTCTCCTGGCAGACGCGCGGATCGCAGCCTGGCGAGAAAACTCGTCGGCTCCGCCCCCTGCAACATTCGCACGCACTCCTATGTCGAAAACTTCCTCGTCGTCGAATTGGCTCCCTGGGACACGGGGCGTCTTTCCGAGAGCCCACTGAGCAGGCGCTAAACCGCCGACTCGTGAGATCTCCGTCCATGTGTTGTCAACTCCTAATGCAGTAGAGATGTCTTCATCGAGTCTGGCCACATTCGTGTCGTGCACCACCCGCTTAAGGATGTTCTTCCAACATCCACCATTCCTCCCGGCGCGGCCTATCTGCTCGGGAGACTCGACTCCGGCGTCGCGGAGGTCGATTCCTTGACTCTTAACCCATTGCAGGAGCAATCCTCTGTTGTGCAGTCTACGGTCTAACACCATTTATTTGGGTTTACCTGCCGATGCACGCCAGTGTTGTTGGAGCGCAGTGAGGCATGCTCTCGAAAATGGCGTACCACCGCCCTGTTTCACACAGATTACACGTTGAAATGTTGTACCCTGGCACACTATGTTCAAAAGGTGTAACGTTCTCCACTGTTGTCCTTTACCTCCAGACAGTCGATACCGATTTCATGATTGATGCATAATTTCTTGGGCGAGGCAACCTTATGA